CTATCAATCTGATGTCTTCCATTTTTTAGTAGATGCTAAATGTGTGCTCTCGTGGATAATATGAGTTTGGGCTAAGGCCCTATTGGGATAAAAATAGAATGGCCCAAACAAATTCAGGAGGCCAGCCCAGGGACGTTGAGATGAATTTGTCGATTAAGTTTGAGCCACGTATGAGGGGTATTATCGGAATGGCAATGGGAAAATCTTAATGTTACCAACTACTGTGGAAATGAAACCCACTCGGTATTACTTCAGGGTTCCCTCACGGAACGGAACAATCGCCACAGAGAAAAGAACCCCGACCAAACAAAAAAAGCCCTAGAAAAGATTTTGGAGAACCAATTTCTCATTTCACAAAATCTCAACCTCTTCTTTTATTATTTCTTTTGGATAAAACGTTTGCTCATACTGAATTTTCTTTTCTCTTGTTTTGCTTTCTTTTCGACATTTTTTCTGCTTCGGTGTTTTCAGGAAGAAAGGGACAAGAGTAATACAGGAGAGTGCATTCCTTTCGGTTCTTCGCTTCGGGACTCTAATCTTCGATGCCTCTCTGTTTTTTCTTCTCTTTTCTCAAATTAGGGTTTCCGTAAGCGTGCCTCTTTCTCGATTATCACCAAACTATCGTCATTCTGAGTAATTTTCTCTTCTTATTCTTTATATTCGATCTATCGATTTTTTATTTTTCAATATTAGAAGTTATTTTTTGAATTTGTTTGGTTCCCCTGGATCTTGCCGTTATCAATTTGAGGGCAAAATTTCTTTTCGTATGGTTGCAATTCTAACCATTAGTTTGTGCATGTTAGGTTTCTTTTCCACTTTTAAGTTTGCAGTGATTTTAGGGTGAACGCTGTCATTGTTTGAATTGATTGTTGTTTGTTTCTTTGTTGTGGTGTGTTTAATCTCTGTAACCAGGTTGAGGGGGGTGATTTGTATTTTGGAATAATGTCGCCAAAATATCAGACTCCGCCAAAATATCAGACTCTGGACAATCGACCAATTAATCAGTGGAAGGTTACGGAGCTGAGAGAGGAGCTGAGGAGGAGGAGGTTAAACACCAAAGGTCTGAAGGATGATTTGGTAAAGCGGTTGGATGAATGTCTTCGTCTTGAAAGGGAGGGTGAGCAGGATTCTGAGAAGGAGGAGGCCAATGGTTTTGATGATGGTCATGTAGACGGGGAAAAAGGTTCTGCGGCTGTTACTATGGATGCTGAAGTCGTTGACGCAACTGACAAGGAAAGTACCCAAACATTTGAGACTGCTGAAAAGGGGAAGAGTGATGTAGTTGAACCGATCGAAACAGAAAATGAGGAAATGTTTCCGGGGGTTGTGGATGAAGACAACAATAAGAATGACAAGCAGGATGGTATTACTGGCCAAGTTGACATTAATAACAGTGTGTCAACCATGGATGAAGAAGTTGAACACGAGGGCTTTCCCTCCGGTGTATATTCTGGAAATGTGGTAGAGGAGGTGGCTAGTACTCATGCTTCGGCTGTAGAGACGACAATTACAGTTACTGAAAGTGTAGTAACAGGTGTGGTAGTCAGTGGTGAGGATTCATACTGTGCAGAAAAGAACAATGAGTTTTCTGCAGCAAAGCTAGAGAATGAGGAGTCAAAGGCGCAGCTGGATGGTGAGGATACAAAGCCCCAACTGGATTCTGAGACAAAGCCCCTGCACGAGGATATTGTGCCCGACTCTTCTGTTCCCGAAAACCAGGTATCTGAGGTCAACCCTAGTTTAGGGTCTCAAGTAAAATCTGATTCTATTTCTACTGATTCTGTGTCAATTAATCAAAAGAATGAACTAAAGGATACTATAATTACTGATAATGTCAAATTAGAACAAGATATTGTTAAGCCGGAGATGGTGGAAGAACCATCATCCAGAAATGATGTACCTGTTTCTTATGATGTACCTGTTGGAGGGCGGCATGAGAAAAAGACATCTGTTGAAGAAAATATCAATAATGTTTCAAGTCCAGACTTGAATAAGACCAATAGCAGTGATGATGTGGGGTATCCAGAAAAGTTGAATTTAGACAGAAGTTCTGGTGATGATTCCATGGAAGAGGATTTGCCTGAGACTAAGCAAATTGATTCTAAGTTTAATGTTGATGAACTTAGAAAGAAAGTGGAGAGTATTGAAGAGCCTATTGTGAAGGAGGAAAGTAGGACTATAGCTGTGGGAGATGGTGTATCTGGAGGAAAAACTGATACCCACCAAGATATTGACATTAGTCCCGTTGCCCCAACTGAGAAACGAAAATTCCATGGTAAGCAATATACGTCTGAAATGGACATTTATTTTTAAATTGTTATAACACTGAAGGTAAAGCAAGAGTAATATGCACTGTATGTTGCATTGCTGTAATTGGTTTCTTCTTTATGTATTTTTAGTAACCCTCTATTATTTGGAAAATTGTCACAGAACAAACATCGGTTGGGAACAATGAGCCTGCAAAAAGGCAACGCAGGTGGAACACTGAAACAGTTAAAGGTCCAGATTCACAAAGCACTACTCCCAGGCCTGCTACTACACCTAGAGAAGAGCCAATTGCTCTGAAACGCAACCTCTCTAGGTCTGATTCCTCTGCTACTGATGACACACCTAAAGAGCGCATTGGTAAGCAACATTTTTCTGAATAGGGTCGACATTTGTAGTGTAGTTGTTGAGTTTTATTAATGCGGATCACTTTTCAAGTGCCAAACCTCTAGCCTGAATACGTAAATTCGTGGCACCTTCAGATTTCAATCCTGGACACTTTTTGAAGCACAATTTGCTTATATATCTTATAATCTTATATATGTTGTTACCGTTTTTTATTTGAAGGTGGAAAATTATCTGTTGGTTGATTCTAAGTAGACGAATGCATTTAATGAGACAAGGCTCGGTTGTTGTTGACTTGTGCTGTGCTTTTTTATGTGGGTGTATTCTGTCTATGTTGTATAGCACATTGATTTTATTGTCATACTGGCATGTCTTGTGTATTTTATGTCACTGTTTTTTAAGTTGACTACTTTTTTGCAATCTTTGGCAGTTCCACCATCACCAAGGTCCCCAACTAATTCCCTCAGGATTGATCGATTCCTCCGTCCATTTACTCTGAAAGCTGTACAAGAACTTCTTGGTAAGACTGGGAATGTTAGCAGTTTCTGGATGGACCAGATAAAGACCCATTGCTATGTTACTGTAAGACAATTCTTTTCTCTAATGTCTTCCTGCAACTGTTGATTCCCACATGATGTTATAGTATCTTGTATTCATCTCACGGTTTTAAGTAATCTTTTGTTGATTTCCTCGTGGTATAGTACTCATCTGTTGAAGAAGCCATGGAGACACGGAATGCTGTGTATAATTTGCAATGGCCACCAAATGGTGGGCGTCTCTTAGTTGCTGAGTATGTTGATCCGGAAGAAGTGAAAATGAAGTTAGAACCTCCTGTACAGACTGCCCCCATCAGCACTGCTCCAGTAGTTCCGCCTGTGGTCCCCACATCACAGCCAGAGCCTTCCCCTCGGCTGCACAGGGAGCAGCATTCAGTTCCAACTATGCTCCCACCTCCACCACCATTGTCAAAAAACCCACCAGTAGCAAGAGATCGACTTCCATCACCACCACCTCTTCCAGAGAAAGTTGACCCACCTATTGTCACTCTTGATGATCTCTTCCGCAAAACCATATCAACTCCTCGGATCTACTACTTGCCTTTGTCCGAAGAGCAAGTTGCTGCAAAACTTGCTGCACAGGGTAAAAGTGTGAGGAAGTAGGCCAATTAACCTGCAATTCTTCCCCGGAAGCTTTTACTGATTTGGTTTTATTTTTCATCGTGCTAGTTAGTGGTATGAATTTATTGTGAATGCGGCAGATCTGGTGCTGTTTTGTCTCGGGAAGAAATTGTAGTTGCCAATGCATATTGAGACTTAAATTTGTTTAGTTTTAGAACGTTGTGAACTAAGAGCTACGGGGGTTTGATAGATTTTCCCCACTGTTTGAACTAGGCTAAGCGAACCGTTACCTGAAACTACTTCAACTTTTATGGAAAAATTTGACTTAGATTATGCCTCGTCTCCTAGCTGTTAATTTTGTTTAAGGTAGCTGGCTCTTTTTTGTCTGCTGTTAGTCATACAGGAGATCAATTATTTTGACGTGAAAGTTTATTTTGCTTTAGTTCTACAATTGATTGAGTGCTACCAAACAGGGCAGCAAGTATTTTGACTATTAAAGATTCGTTCTAGAATCTTGTGTAATCGGAAGATGTATACGGTGCGAACATACGCCATCGTAGTTCTGGAATCTAATATAGGACAACTGCAGCATGTCTACTAACTTCCCCGAAATTATTAGAGTCAAATAGAAAATAATAAAATTATCTGTGAAGTGAGATTTAAAGCGTGTTTTTTAATATGGTATTACATCTTCACAAAAAGTCAAGTTGATACTATTGACATTACGAAAATTGTGCGTTGTGACAACTTCAGTGAAGTTATGTAAAGAAATGAATTGAAGTTATTATAAAATTAAAGTTGTTAATCTCATGATTTAAGTTAATTTCATTATAGAATTGAATACATCTCAAGTGACAACTTTAACTTCAGTTATCTAATGCCATGACTTAGCAGAATTTTAATTCATCCGAGATTGTTTCAGCGTGTTATAACTTTTTCGTTCTGAAGTTATGCCAAGTTGACATGTCTTGTCAAAGTTTAAATTTTTTAAAACTTGTACTATTCTTATAATTTCATAATGAAATTACACAAATGGTGAAAATATGTCAAAAGTCTATTTAATCAAATTTGTGAGATGAGATTATATGTTAATGTGCCTTTTTATATGTTAAGCTTGAATTAGAACTAAATTTGTCTTTAGAATTCGCAATTGATAACTTTATTTATAATGTCATACTTTATCTCTTTTGTATAAGGTAAATGCGATTAAGGATATTGTTGTATTGCACATACAAGTTGCATTGGTGATAAAGTTGAAAGAGTTAAAAGAGGTTTGTGTTGCACATGCAAGTTGCATTTGTGACGAGGTTAAAAGAGGTAAAAGAGGTTGTGAGTTTAACTCTCTTACCAACACTTTAAAGTTATAAAGTTGGTTTGATAGATTTAGAAAAGAGGATAAAAAAATTTATGGATTTAACTATTTCCAATAATAAACGCTAACATGAAGAGTTAGAAACATGTGCTCCCTGTATAATCTCTTATAAGAAAAACTAGTGTCGCATTTAGAAATACTTTTTAACACAAAAGTAGATGTAAGTCATATTTATTTATTTATTTATTTATTTATTTATGCATAAGCTAGTTTTAATTGGCCTCGTATTCTTTTTCACTTTTTAAACTTTCAAAAAGTAAATGAAGAAAATATTTATATACATAATAACAAAATTTTGTACATTGATAATTTTAGTTTACTAGTTGTAAAGCGTTTAAGTATTTTTGAGTCATAATATATGTATTTGTATTTTTTAAAGAGATTCTTTTGGTTCTAGGATTAGAACTCTGACTTTTATCAAAGATTAACATCTTTGTGGCGAATTTTCACTTGACTCTATTAATCTGCTGGATTGTGACATCCCATTGTCTGATTTTGCATTCTTCTCTAATTTATTTTTGTTGTGCTCACTGAGGATTCAAATTTAGAAAAGATCGTACTCTTTCCTAGACACAATTGTATCAACTTTTTTGATATACACTACTCTAATTTGCAGAATCTATTACCTTTCTAAGTTTTGCGTTGCAACGCCTTTGGTTGAGCAATAGGATTTCCTTTTATGTGATGTACGCATGGATGTGCAAAATACATATGTACTTGTAGATATTTGAGACAAAGTTATTAAATAAATATCTTTAAACTTATAAATAAACTTAATTTTGTTAAACCTAAAAAAAACTTTTTATTTTTATTTTTTATATGTATCTTTTAAAAAATAAATTTTTGTCACATGTTTGTGTGACATGGTAATGACAGTGTGACGTGGCAGTGACAATGTCACATGTCATTACATTAGTTTTAATTTGATTATTATATTCTTATTTTGTCTAAATTTAGTCTTATTTTTTTTAAATTAAACAATTATGTCCCTCTTTATTGTTTAATTCAACAAAAAAGTTGAGTTGGATAATTTTTTGTAGTTTTGTGATTCATATTAATTGATTATTAATAAAGTTAAATTGCATTAGTGAATTCAGTCACATATTTTCTGTTGTCATGAAAGTCATGAGAGATAGGGATCGACTTATTTTCTGTTGTCATGAAAGAGTCATGAGAGATAAGGATCGACTGTATGATTAAACCTATAAATAGACTTAATCTTGTTAAGAATATTTAATAAAAATGTCATATAACATTTATATAAAAATTAATTTTTGTTTGAATTTGGGGAGAAACAAAATTGTTTAATTTTTTAAAAAAAATAGTATTAAATTGAGACAATAAAAATACTGTGACCAAATTAAGACTAATGCAATGACATGTGATCTGACATGACACAAGACACTGTGAGTAGCATGTCACACTATCATTGTCATGTGTCAATTTGACACATGACAATTTTTTAATTTTTTTTAAAAAAATATATTTAAAAAATCCAAAAAAAACCACGAACTACATGATAGTCTCTTTAACAGTTTTAATATAGAACTAATAAAAATAACCTAATTGCTCCAATTTCAATTCTCATAAAAAGATATAATTAAGACAAAAAAAAAAGAGAGACAATTTAATAAATATCACCAGAAATAGGACCAACGATATGATCAAACTTACTACATGAAATTGAATTAAGTGAAACATATGTTAGATATATTCTCATACTTTGACATTTTTAATTAATATTATTTAAACAAATAACATTTAATCTATAATCGATTAGATTAAGTTAATAATGTAGAAAACCTAATTTTACGGATTCTTTTCCCACCCTTCTTCACCATTGTGGTCTAGGGTTTGAAAAACAGGAAGCAGGACTTGCAGTGCACAACATGGCATTGAGCTGCATTTATTGTTTTAGAACAATGTCTGAAATATATTTGTGCTTATAATTTCTGAGGGGGACAGAGGGTTGTTTTTCAAGTCCAAATGAGGAATCAAACTAAGATTTTTCTTTCTTCACCCCTTTTTTCTTCCTGCACCCCGATAGGTCAGGGAGAATAGAGGAAGGGAGATAAGGCCTGCTGCTGCACAGGAAAAAAAGGGAAGGGAGGAGAATAATTAGGTTTAGGTATATAATTTTAATAAGGGATAAAATTGAGTAATTAAGTTTTATGGGATACAAGAAGAAAAAAGGGAGTGCAGGAAGAAATTCCCAAACCAAGACATTTTGATGGACTCAATCCTATCGTATGAGCCATTTAATTTAAATCTATGAGATGATCAAACCACCCAGAAAAAAAAAATCTAAGATCAACTAACAAATGCAAAAAATAATAGTTGATTCGTGTTCAAAGAATGGGAAAGTCTCAGAGAATCGCAATACATTATATCATCCCTTCGATTATTACATTAAAAAACTTGGCTCACTAGATCATAAAACGGGATTAAGTACAAGCCCTAACAAGCCAGCCTCTTCTGTTGCTAAAAATGGAAAGTATATGCTATGTGCATCAACATACACATGAAAAACATAGATGCACCACCAACCTGTATCTCAGCATTTCATTGCTTTCTTCAAAATAAAATCTCTAACAGAGATTGGTAAATGATACATGATAGCCATGACAGTAGAGTAATGTCCATAGGTAAACCATGCCGGCGGTTTCTCCTTAAGAATAGCAGCTACAGTGTTTCTAGCAAACTCATCTGTGGGAGTTGATTTCGACTTCTGAGAAAAGTAAGCTCTGTCTCGGATTGCTGCTTCAAAAGGCTTGAACAATTTCCATTCAGGCATGCGGTTGTAGCTGGCTATGGCAGAATCTCCAATATTTGATTTGATAGCTCCGGGTAGAACATTCACAACATCAATTCCAAAATGTCCAAGTTCCAATCTGTATCCAACATGCCCATGTTCAAGATTAGAACAATTACATATTCTACGAAATGTAAATAATTGGGACAGGTCAAACCACCATCCCGAATGATGTACTGCTGCATATATAGTGTATTGCTGCATTCCAGTTTCAATCAAGTCACCACATTGATTTGGACCAACCCATATTTTTCATACAACAAGCTGTATTTATGTTGCTAAATACTTTTGTTTCTGATTGATTTGATGCAGACATGAAAACAAGTTTAGGGTAAGGGAAATTTGAAAAAAGAAGAATACCTTAATGTATCTGTCAAAGCATGAAGAGCAGCTTTAGAAGCTGTATAAGTGCCTGACCAAGGTCCAAAAGCCAAGGCAGCAACACTGCCAATATTCACAATCTTCCCCTTTTTCCTAGTTGCCATATGAGGAACAACCGCCTGAACCATTCTCAATGAACCTGCGTATGCCCAATGAAACGCACCATCTACTTAAGCATTCAATTCACCTTCTTGGATACCAATTAAAACTATATTTGGAACTGGGAAATTTCAATGCAGACTCTCAAATTCAAAGACACAAAATGTTACTTAAAGATTAAAAAGTACTTCTAAATTGCTTGAACAGCTACCCAAGCATGCACTAAATCTGTTTGTGCAAAAACTGAAGCCACGATTGCCAAATTGAGTGAAAACAGTATTCAAATAGAAACGCACAGGTGCCCAAAAGTTCATGATTGGTTCGTTTTATATACTGAAATTAGAAACTGTACATTGAAATTAACCCTATTCATGATTCTCTGTTCTCTGTCAATTATCGACCAAATAGATCTCAGATATCACACATTCAATTACACTGAAGTCCCAAATAGAAGGGATT